AAGAAAAACTTCAAACGCTCCCCGGGGTCTCAGGAACAGCATGTTGGCAAGGGGAAGTACAGTACTGTACAATACAGTATGTTTGTTTTGAGCATTTACAGATACAGTACAGTACTGTATAAGCATCGAAGGAATGCTGGTTGACGGATAGATGGAGGCAGCAACCAGACATAACCGGGTTGGTTCACTCTGAGAGGTGGGACGAGGTGCGACACACGCGCAATTTTATAGACCTCCTATCGCATAGTACTGTAAGAAGAGGATCAGATTTTGGATCCCGTGTGGCAGGCGACGGGATCACCGGAGAGTGGTCATTAATCAAAGTGTCACGATTTTACCCATGTTGATACTCCTCTTTGATACTGATTATGTGAATTGGTTCCTTGTGACGTCGTGAGAAGATACGGTATTTGTGTGCTTTTGTGTGAGTCGAAGTCTGTACTCTTGTGCAAAGGGATTTATGGGATTGTGCAAGGATTTGTCTGACAGTCATCTCTTTTTTGAAGTGCAGTTGCTAAAACTCATGTTGTTTCGCACCAAGTTTCGAAGTTTTTCGTTTGCTCGTTGAACGAAGCGACGTGGAAATGGGATCATTTTCGGATCTACCTCCTTTGGAAACCCGCCTAGCGATCGGTGGTCCTAATGGAGGATTTGTGGAGAAAATCGATTATCGAGAAATCGAGATGACTAGAACCATTGGACAAGGATCATTCGGAGTTGTCAATCACGGCAAGTGGAGAGGCATGGACGTAGCGGTGAAAATCATTCAAGGTGAACAAGAACGCCGAGCCTTCGAAGCTGAACTTCTGCAATTATCTCGCGTATCGCACCCGAATATCGTCCAACTCTTCGGTGCCGGAGCTGTTCCAAATGGTCCTGTGCTTCTGCTTATGGAATACGCCGAAGGAGGATCCTTGTACAACGTGCTTCATTGCGAAACTCCGCAGGGAGTTCGCGCCGAATATGCAGCCGCACATGCCATCAGTTGGGCTCTTCAAACTGCCAAGGGTGTTGCTTATTTGCACGGACTTAAGCCGAGACCGGTTGTTCATCGGGACCTGAAACCCCCGAATCTGTTGCTTATCGACGGGGGTCGAGTTTTGAAAATCTGTGATTTCGGCACTGCGTGCGAGTGTCAGACGTATATGACAAATGCGAAGGGCTCTGCTGCATGGATGGCCCCTGAAGTGTTCGAAGGTTCGGATTATACCGAGAAATGTGATATTTTCAGCTGGGGCATCATTCTGTGGGAAGTTCTGACCAGGAATAAACCCTTCGATGAGATTGGCGAATCTGCATACAGGTAAGATTTTCAAACCTCTCACCAATTTTTGTCAGTCTGTAGAACGAATTGTAATCCAAGTTGAGATATGGCTCCTGGTGAGTGAAATTCTGTGAAGGAATTTGTGAAACTTTATGGTGATCCCATGCTTATTTTTCCTTTCGTACAGCTCTTTGGCATCATGTTCATTAAATACGTTCTTCTTTTATATATCAGGATTATGTGGGCGGTGCATGAAGGACAAAGACCACCACTGATAGCTGGATGCCCGAAGAGAATAGAAGACTTGATGGTGTCTTGCTGGAATCAGAATCCAACGACACGTCCCGCCATGGACGATGTTGTCACAGAAATGACGGAGCTCCAGCAGTTTTTCCCTGGTCACGACATACCTTTGCAGTATTCCGGAAATCCCTCCATGTTTGATTCCCCGTACGCGACTGGTTGTTCGGAGTCGCTTACGAGTGCAGATCATTCTTCAGGCAGATTCTCCATCCTTGCCAGCAGTTCTGAGGAATTGTCGAGAGAGCATGCGAAGTTCCTTACGTTACTTACGGTCGATAATCAAGAAGATCGGGGTGATTCAAGCACTACTGGGCAAATGAGAGCCTTGAGAATTGACGTTGGTGTTTCAGAAATAGCAAGCTTGCCTAGCAACGCGTTGATCACGAAGTCCCCGGGAGGTGACGTGGACTTGAATGCTCCGATTCCCACGCTTGCATTGGATGTTCCATCGCATTCTCTACAGAATAAACGGCATTCTGCGGATTTCAGTCAAATTTTTCTTCCTGCGCCAGGACCGGCTCCTGCTGTACCTCCGAGGCCTGTTGTTAATAGTGATGGTGAGTGGAAAATTAGTGGTAGGGTAATGTCTGTTTTTATGACACGTGTTAAAATCTGCTGTTATGTAAAAAAAAAAAAAATTGGCGATCTATGTGAAAATATTCTTTCCCAACTTTTCTAATCGCGAAGTGTGTCGGTACGCAAAATTATCATATTGGTTATTGGAATTATAAAACAATAAATTACACGCTGGTTGAATAAAATTTAAACCTAGAGATTTGCGCGAACCCGAATTTCTTTCATGAAAACATTGCCTTATAACTGCGAGGGTTTCCGAAAATGCATCGATAGCGGTGAGGGATTTTTAACCTTCATTGCAGATTTTTCTGACCCGTGTGTTGTGTTATTGTGAGATTATTTTTAGCATGTACTGTAGTCCATAGTCCTTCTGTTGGGGCTTCAGAAAAGTTTTTTTTTTTACCGAAAAAATCGTTGTGATGACGTTTCTCTGTATGTAAATGAGAAGACTTCGGTGTTGAATGTCGAGTTTTGCATTGCCCTCTTGTTGAATCTCCTGCCTCTGATCTGTTTCGTCTGAAACGCGGTAAATAAGATAACGGCGTCACCTATCTGGGAATCAATCTAAGATTCTGTTTCTTGAAATGTTTTTCACTCCACAGGACGAGCTCTAGGACATCGGAGATCCTCATCCTACGGTAGTTCAATAACCACGGACAACTGGCCCTTCTTTGTGCGTCCCGTTCCAATGCAGCCGATCACCCCTGCTGCTTACGACTTAACACCTCATCTGGACTACACCAATTTTATAGACGAAGCCTATCACATGTTACCGCCTGACTTGTCCGCCATCCCACCTGATGAATCGGTTTCAGACTCTGTTGCCATCTTTGAAGACCACAAACGCCTCGCTGCTGATTACATGAAGGTGCAAACAGAGATCAGTTTGTTACAGGTGTCGTTAACGGAACTCAGACGAGAATTGAAGGAAGAAGAATCGCATGCGACTGTGCTTGACTCTCAGGGCCAAGCATCGCTGATGAAGGAGTACCAAAAGTTACTGGATGAAAAAGAGAGCTGCGAAGCGTTGTACAAGTGTTTGGAGAAGCAGTTGGATGCGGCGAAAAGTGGGAAATTTCTTTCGTGATATAATTATTATTTTTTAAATTTGAGTGTTTGATGCGGTTTTTGTTGTGTGGATCGATTCAATTGAGTCTTGGAATTTTTTGCTTTGTGATGATCGCAACATTTTTCTACATCACTGTGTTTTGATTCGAATTACTTTTCGGAGGTTGAGGCAGATGTAAAATATTACAGTACTTGTTATTCTAGCATAATTTGGAGTTCCTTTCCCTTGAATTTGAAAGCCCTTGAATTTAATGCAAATAACCAACTCATCTGATGAATCTAAAAAGTCTGACGGGTGAGTGTTTCCCATTTTAATACTGTATTTTCTGCGTGTCTCAAGAATTTGGGTAACAAAAGTGAGCCCTTTTCCTTGTTTCGGGTTTTCAGATCAATTTTCGTTTTTGTTTGAAGCATGAAACAAGTTTAGTATTTGGAATTCAATTGCTGGATTAAATTATTCATTGGAAACCGCCTCTTAGTTCAGTGCAGATTTCCGTACTGCGTGTTTAAGTATGAGCAAAAAGAAGCAAAACTTGCTTTTATGACTTATTTCAAACAAATGTCAAACGGAAATCTATCTTGAAAAACAAAAAAAATGTGTATTGTTCAAAAGTTTGTAGATCTTGTCGTTACCATGAGTAAAATGAGAGTCGTTCTGAAAGAACTTGTCAATTTATGGGCATTTGAATCAAGCATGTTACATGCGTGTTTTCCTCGGAATCCGACGAGTATTTTACAGTTACTGTTTTTTCGTGAAGGCGAGTGGAAGTTTCCGCATCGAACGGAAAAGTTCTTCTGTCTAATTCGTTGCTCTTCGGAAGCGTGCAGGATGTTTCTGATTTCTCGTAAATTTGTGTTTTCAGGAGTTGTTCCACGTGAACGCGTAACGTTTTTAATGGCTTCAACTTGACAGCGTTCTGCCAGATGATAGTGAAGAATGTGAGACCGTCTGTGATTAGGCGTCGCAAACATTTCCTTCCTCGGGATGCTTCCGGAAATATAACCCGTGTCTGTCGGCTGTATTTCTTTCATCGATAGAAACATCTATGATCTAAATCTTGTGACTTCCTAGGAAATGGTGGTCAAAACTGCACTCGTAAGTACTGTATAAATTTTTAAGAAAAGAAAAATTTAAGCAGAATTTTGTGTCATTTTTCCCCTTTCTAAGCTGAATTTGTTTGGTCGCGAATTTCTCATTTTGTCTAAGAAATCACAGTTTCAAAATAATTGAAGTGTTTTGCAAATTCTTTTGAATTTTGATTTGAATTGTAATTAATTGATTGTTCATTTCCACTAGAAGACAAGCACAAAGAGTGAACAAAATTATTATTAATGCCTAGTGTGATTATGCTCTAAGCCAGTGTTCCCCAACCCATGGTCCACAGACTGGCGCCAGTTTGCAGAAGTTTTTTTCTGGTCTGCAGAAAATTTTATGCATCATAATCAATTGAAAAAGGTAACAATGAAGTCTGTGACAGTATTTTCATCTGAAATGGAGGAAAGACCTGGCAGTTTAAATTATCCAATGGAGAAATAAAAGTTGGCTTTTCTCTTGATTGAACTATGATAGATTGATAAAATCTGAAACTTCAGGGAAATTGTCACCTAGAAGTGAATTATTTCAATTTTTTAATATGAGAAACGTCTCTTCAAGCCCCCTTTCTAATTTTTGAAGACATTCCACTACCTAGCTAAATTCCCTATTGTTCAATCTGTCACAGTGTAAGTGATTTTATTTTCCATTTTTGAAAGCTTTTGAAATTAAGCATATCTATGGTATTTAGACTGAATTGAAGATCGCAGGTCCTATTTTTCTCAGTTCAACAGGGACGTATTACTTCGAATGTTGTGCTACTTCGAATTTTTCGAACAAGTGCTTTCTCCAAAGTAAATCTTAGCTGTACATTTACGCGTCTTGATCTTCATTTGAACTTTTAGCGAGTGCGTCAGACTCATTTTGGTCGACAAGCACGATCTTCAAATTTTTTCGAGGAGTCATGTTTTCTGCGTAACTATTTTTTATCGCGTGCTGATAAAATCTGATGCCCTCGAGAAATTCTTGATAACATGAGACTGGGTGCATTTAATCTTCCGTTTCTATGCGAAGCATATTTTATTTTCCTATGAAACGCAATTTGTGATGCTTTCATGAACTCAGAAATGAACCCACGTGATCAGGCTATTGGTCATTTCGTTTGTGATATATTCTTGGTGAATTTTTTTCGTGGATTACTCCCTGATTTTGTATTCGCTCAATTAATACGGGGGTTTAATTTATGTACTTTTTCCTTCAGGTCTTTCTTCGCTGTCTTTCCCGTATAATTTTTTTTGTGTGTGAATGTGAAAAGAGTTGTTACTCCTGCGCTGGACTTAGATCGAAAGATGAAGTCACAACGCAGTCGTCAACCCACGAGTTCTACCGTTTCTATTGCGTCAGTCAGAAACGTGGGTCTTTTTTGGGATTTGTCTTCCTGTTCTTTTCCTCCCAACACTTCCGAAGCTGATGCCCGAGCGAGTTGTGTCATGTTGAAGAACGAATTTGTGGCTGGAAGGCATTTCAAGCTTTCCTACTTTGGTGTCGCTGTCGATGAAGCAAGAGTCTCTGAAGCTCGGCTGTCTGTGAGTGCTTTTTTTCGTTCGTTTGCGATGAATCTTCTGAAGTGTGCCTTTTTTTAGACAATTTTTTTTACCTGTTCGGGTTCTTCTCTGACATCCGGGGTTCAAATAGTTGCATGTGAAATTTTCCTTATTTTCTTGGGGTTATTGTAGAAATGTGTGTGATCATCTATCTGCGATTCAACGTAGACCTTGAATCCGAAACTGCGCATGAGATTACGAAGGATACTGTAAGACATTGTGGCCCAGGGCCACACTGCAGAGGCGTAGAGTCCTTGCGGGCCACATTATTCAATAATTTTGGAATTTCCAAGTTTCTCCCTTTTTGGATGAAAGGTTTCAAATGTGATAAAAAAGTGGGATGCATTGAATCATAGCCTTTCCGCATTTTCGGAGGGTGGAGGAACATTTCGACTTTTTAATTTGATCTTTCAATGTATAGTTTATTTCAATAGTGCCAGTTGCCACCTTGAAAATTATAAAGAAGGGACTGTGGGACAGGTGAAGAGTCTCTGGGGGCCAGATGTGAACTGAATTGAATTTTGAACTTTTCTTTAAAAGGGGAATAATTTGGAGCCTTTTGGAATACATTTTCCTTTTAGAAACCTCCCACAAGCCTTTCATTGAAGATCGATGAATTCCTGGAATTTTCCGCAAGGAATATCATGGAGGATGAGCAAATGACAAAAGGGTGGTGCTCCGTCCTTAAACTCTTTACTGATGAGAAACCCCGATTAAGTCAAGGGCAGGTCCACAAAGCAAAAACGTAACAGCCTTTCTGATTTTTGTGATGAGATTTTTCCTTAGCTTTTAGTTAGGCAAGCTCTTCCGTTGTCCAGCTTCTCTTTTTTTTAAACCTTAGTTCATAGTTGTCCATATTATGTGAGGGTTGTCCCAGTCAGGTGTGACCATTTTAGAGTAGGTGTGATTGCTGAAAATCGGAACATAGCCCTTGATGTTCTGAGATTCCGGGATTCGGATTTTTTGAAAAGTTTTCCGATTTACTGCATGATGATAAATGTAAACTTTACCATTGCAGCCTTATGAGTTTTCCTCATGTCACAGTGTGCTAACATTTGGCGGACTGGATGAACAAATTAATTTTTAAAACCATTTTCTGACGCGTAAAAAATGGGTAAAAGATAGAAAAAAAATTAACATTTCAGGTTGCCCAACACATTTTTACCGTGGTATATTTTGATGTGCTGGATGAATGTTTGCGTTATATCTTCATTTTTGTATCTGTTTTACGAAAGATTTAAAAAATATTAATGCATTGTGGTTTTCTTGTTTTATTATGTATGGGGCCCTGCTCGTAAGTCTGCTGAAGTGCATGAAAAGCTGAACTATTGGATTGATTCAAATTTCTGACACCGATGAATGAAAGTCTCTGTTCATCTCATCAATTCAAAAACTCATCATCAAAAAAAGAGATCTCATCAATTTAAATGCCACATAAACGGGAAAAATTCGGAGTTTTTGTTTTTAGCACAGATTTTTCCCTCCATCATTTGCAGGAAGCGGTCACTACGGAAGACGTCAACGAGCTGATGGTTTGCCCAAAATCGGAAATCGCGGACAAAATCTCCGCGGCTGTGATCACCTGGTTATCCAAACTCGGAATTTCAGACGACAACCCCGCCGTACCGGATATAAATGAACCCGTCATTGTTCTGCTCAGCAGCAAGGAACGTTTCAGAGCCCTTCTCAACCGGATCCGCTTCCGGCTCAAGGTGGAAGTCGTCATCGTTCATTCGGGTGCCAAGATCACACCTGACCTTTCGCTGTTGGCCAGTCGAACTGTGCCATTCTCCAAGTTCCTTCCAAGTAAATCTGTCAATCCAGTATCTGCACCTGTCAAAACGGCGAAAGTTGCTGACAAATTTACCATGAGACTCTCCATCACGAAGGGGAAATGCGGAATGCTCCCCTTTGCGGAAACTATTACCCAAACGGTGAAGAAGTTTAACGGGAATCTTGTTCAGATGAACGAGGAATATGCTCTGGTTACGGTTCCTGGTCCGAATGTTGACAAGGCTGTGTGTGAATTGAGTCAACAATTCCTTTTCGGTGGTTGCAAAATGAGAGTTGAAGTCGTTGACGAGGGTTGTGTTATTACCGCGACTTCGAAGGTCAACGGAAAAAACGTGGCTCCCGTTGTTCAACCCAAGGTGAAGGCTAATGTTGTGAAGAACGTGCCGTCTGATCCCAAAACGGGCAAAGTTTCGCACCCCGGAAAGGAACAGAACGGCAAAAATCCTGGAGTATCCAAAAAAGGTAATGCTCCTGACCCGGGAAAAGGTCAAATCGCGAAAGGAAAACCTCACGTGAATCTTGGAGCTGTACAAAGACCGCCTTTGTTGCCTAATCCAGTCCTTCAGCCTGTTTTTGGACAATCTGCTAAAAATGTGCCTGCAATTGGCATTCGTCAGAATGGTCCAAACGTTCATCCTGCTAAAGGAAAAGCTTCCTGTGGGAATCCCGGGAACAAAACTGTGCCAGTAGCACACTTGATGCCTTCTCCACCCTTGATGCCTACTCCACCCTTGATGCCTACTCCGGGTGGGGAACCAGTTTTTGGTCAATGTGTTCCAAATGTGCCTTTGAAGGCTGTGTCGCTGAGTGGAAGCAACTCTGGAGGAAAATCAAGTGAAAAGCAAGGCAGTGCTTCCAAACAGAAGATTAATTCTCAGAAAGGTACAGATAAAAATTCCAACAATCCGTCCAATTCAACCACCGAAGTTGAAAAAGCGCCCGTGAAACGTCCTGCGGAGAAGGAGCGCAATCCTTCGATTAAGCCGAGTTTGAACCCGCATGAGTTGATCCGGTTAAGTTTACTGCCTGAAGGCTTTTGCATCGCTATGAGACGCGCGCAGAAGGAATATTCCGTTGTTTTGGAATATTTCGAACGTTTGCCAGGGAACTGTGTGGAGTACAGACTCCCGGAAGGCGAGCTAGAGGACTTCCAAATTCTAAATGAATTTGGTCCAGTTCTCTGTGCCGTGAAAAGCGAAAATGGTGGAACTTTATCCGTGGAATTCGGAACCCCCGGGGGTGTGGAAAAGTTGAAGAAATTCGGCGGAAGAGAGATTTTGACTTCCTCGAAAAGCGTGACGAAGAAAAAGCATTCTTGGCGAGGGGTTGGTTCAGTGCGGCTTCTGTGGCCTTTGGATACCCCCGACGGAAGTGCTGTAGTGGAATTTCCGGATGGACAATCAGCGAAATACGCCTTTGACAAAGTTTCCGGGGGAGGGTTCTGCATTCCCGTGTGGGTTTCTGAGATGCACGAGAATAGTTTTCCTGCGAAGGTGGTGCAGATGGTTGACGACGTGGCGAAGCTTGAAGTCGTTGGGTTTCCTCCACTCGTGCATGCCGCGGCTATTCGTGCTGCTTTTCAAGTAAGTTTCATTCTGCTATAGGGTCGAGATCCAAACACCAATTACATCTGCATTTCAGCGGTGTGCGGAATTTTTTCCGCCAAACTCTGGCGGCAGAGTCGAATTCCCTGAGAAGGAATAAAGGGATCGAGTTTTACAAAATCGGCGCGTCTCGGGACGCTCCGGAGTCTGAAAAATAATCCCCTTGACGGGGAGACAAAAACAGGACAAATAGAGCCAGAGGAATTGGCACTCCCACGAAGTTAATAACTAAACAAAAACCTTCACCACCCCGAGGCAATTGACCCTTCCTCCCGAACCCCCCGACTCGGGGTTAAAAGACCCTCCCTATTTTTTCCATGAACACGGAACTAAGAGGACCCAGATTTTGCCAGCTGCTGGCCACGTTCATTTTTCTCCCCCTATTTTTTTCAGCACTTCCAATCTGTGCTCGCTATCTTTTGAAATATAAAACGCCCAACAACGTACATGTTCCCTCAGACACTCTTGAGCAATTTATCCTAGTCCCCCTGAAAATTGTACAGCCTTGTAAAATTTTGTGGACCTCGAAGACACCTGGTTTTCCGGAAAACAGCAACTTTAATTATCCCTTCTTCAAACTACTAACTCCGAAGATTGTAAAAACACCAGCACCTGGTGTTTTCGAATTCTTGAAACCCACCACCTGGGATGAAAAACACTACAGAAATTTACCTCAGAATCTAAAAACCCCTGATTTTTTTGTGCTAAGACACAGTCAAAATTTTGCATGCAAAGCGTTACGTCGTTGTGCTCAAGAATCTTGTACTTAAGCAAAAATCACCCGACTAACTTATTTTCGCGGAAATCAGTGAACTGTTTTAAATTTTCTATTGCTAAAACTGTTGTGCATATTTTTTGTCTTGTCCACTTGTTGATTTGCTAACAAAGGCTTGTGCTGTTTGGGAGAGAATCCCTGGTCGGTTTGCGCACCGGCCAATTGTTGTGTTGAATTCATTTTCTATCTGACAATCTTTCAATTTACACCTGTCACATAATTCTATCTTACAGTGTTCTCAATCATATTTAATAAGTTGCTATAATTATGAACAAGGTGTACGGCTTGAATAATTCCCTCTCTCAATAAAACCGTACAAGCGGCCCACTCTAATTGCTTACATATATGCAGGTTTTAGAAAAAAGTGCAGCTATGGATGGAAAGTTTGTGGCTATCAGAAAATCAGAGCCGCGAGCCCTATTTACAAGAGGATGAATAATTTTTCATCCTTGTTCATTTTTACATACGCTTGTGTCCATGAATCGTAATTCATTTTGCGTGGAAGAGAGTGCTTTGATTTTATTTTCTCAGGATGAGAATTCTTGCTTGACGTCGGACAGGAATTCTCGTAAACCCGTGGTTCAATGCTATGTCGAACAATACCGTATCGAATGGTTCTTGCGGAACTGCGCTAAATTTTCTGTACTAATTACCTGGCAATGCGCTGATACTTGAAACACGGTAACACCGACCTGCTACCAAAAATCTAATTTTCAGTTAATTCCATAGGAATAATGTGAGATATTTTAATCTTTTACATTTGAACCTCAATACTGTAACTCGAACTTATTTTTCAGATTCATTTCTGAATTCCCATAGAATCAATCTACTGTATTAAAAACCTCCATAATTCGAATGTTTTTCCCTCAAACCTCTATTTGGAGGCATTATGGCTATTTATTTTTTTATTTTTGGACCCATAAAAGATAAAAGCTGTAAAAATTCAAGGTTTTGAAAGGATGTGAAAGAATAATTGGGCAAATGAACCCATGCTTTCAAGTTCAGCATCCTGCCAACTTCTTTACGCAACTGTTTTGGGTCGAAAAAAGATAGATCATTTTGACTTCAAAATCTTTTTCACTCCAAAAATGGTAGTCTTCCTTTATCCTTATGCAGAACTACTCGTAATCGAAATTTTTGCCGGTCCTTTGAAATTCAACTTATGCTGTCAACTGTATTTGCTACTTACAGTCCAATGACGTTGACATGAAGGACGTCAAAATTAAGCTCGGATCTGGGGAAAATAACTCCGCTGACACATTCGTGAAAGTGAAGAAGGAGTTGTTCTCTTATATCGGGAAGCTGGCATTGAACAAATATTCCATTTACTTCGATAAACCTGCTGAATCGGTAAGTGATGATACATTTCCTCGTTTTCATTCAAGGTTATTTTTCAGTTCATCCTTCTAGAAAAGGTGAAGAAGGATTGCTTTATTTTTCTGATAATTTGCAAAAGTACGGATTTGAATGAGGGTTTTTGCGGCATCTGTTTTTCCTGCAATATTTGTCCGACCAAAAATCCCTCAGAAGAATGAGATGCATCGATTGGAGAAAGCGGAGACTTTGCTTATTACTCTTCAGGGCATGTGAATTATTGTTTGCTATTGCAGCAACGGTCCTGGACACGGGATACTTTTTCTAAGGAGATGGAACTCGGTTTAAAATTATAATTTTATTTTGACCTCAGTGACACAAGTTTAATTGGCAACCTAAAAAATATCTCACAGCGTTGCATCCTTGGAAAATGTTGCATCCTTATTCACAAATTTGGACTTCAAACCCTTCATTAACATAAAATCGTACTCGTTTGTATTAAACTGCGTTAAATTTGCATTGAAGTTACTAGGTATAATTTGCGTTTGGATTGCTACTAAAACGCTCTGAATTGTTTTGGGTTGAGCTTCAGACTGTCAGGACAGTGAATTTCCAAGTCAAGATACTGGCGGGAACCATGTTGGGAGAAATTCAAAATCAAAATTTCGCTGTGTTGACGTTTTTCCAATTTTAAAGAGGGGGAGATTTTTCTCCGAAATATTCCTGGAGGAAGTTCAGATATTTAGCATTTTATTTTGTTAATAGGAGGGAAATGGACGCGGAACTATCTTGATGGCGGAGCCCCTTGAAGTCATGCTATGTGTGGAGCATATGATGGCAGACCTCCGGATTCCCGGAGTATTTGTCAATTGTGACTTCACTGTCGAAATCCCCATTTTGGGAAAACTTCTTCGGGACAAGAAAGCTATTGAAATATTGTACGCGAATGTTGCCGAGAAGGGAGAAGGTGATGTTTCTTGGCTTGCGAATGACAACTCTGGGTATTCCGAGTTCGGCAGCCTCCGTATCGGTAGCAATTTTTTGGGCAAACTCAACAGAGTGGTTAAGGCTGTTGGTTCCGCATTTTCCGGGGTTGTTGTGAATATCCCGGAAAATGTTCATCAGTGGTTGAGGAACACAGAGGCCGGGAAACAATTGATGGAGCAACACATGATTTGCTTCCAGTTGGGAAAGCCGACTGTTCCGAAGTTTTTGGAGAAATCCGGTGCTTGGTGAGTTTTCTGTTTTGACTATAACCCTTTAGTCTGTTTAGTGAATATTGGGACACATTAGTTATCTCTGGAATTAGATTTTAATTGTCATCCCGGCACAATTTTTTGAAAATGGTGAATGCCCACGAAGTATTGAAGATGGTGAAAGAATTTTAAAATCTCCCGAACGCTAGACTTAAAACTGTCCCCTCTTTAATTATTGCGGGAATGCTAAAAGTAGTTCATCAGAATAATTTATTTGTACTGTTCTTCGGAAAGATCGTAAAATAATTGGGGAGGCAGGAAAAATATACAGTCAAACCCCGGTGAACCGCCAACATTTGTGCAGCAGAATTTTGGCGGTTTAACGGGGTTGGCGGTTTAACGAGGGACGGGTTGCCACAGTATTTATTGAATAAGTGTATTTGATCTCTAGAAAAAATGTTTCAACCTCTAACCCTCCCCATCCTGCTTTTGGTGATGATGACTCTTCATTCTGTTTTTTGTGGGGACATAAATCTCTCATTATTTTCAGCTTTAAATTGAGAAAACAAATAATTAAAAAAAATATTACCAGAAATATAAAGCTTTGAAGAGAGGAGCCAAAATTTGGCGGTTTAACGGGGTAAAAAACAATGCCAAGATCCTGTTTGTTCTGCAAAAAACATTGGCGGTTGGCGGATGGCGGATAAACGGGGTTTTCCCATCCCTTCAAGCTTGAGAAGATTTGTTTGGGAGGAAAAAATGGCAGGAAGCAAGGGTGGCGGTCAATCGGGGGGCGGTTTAATGGGGTTCAACTGTACTTCCTCACAAAAATAGGATTTAGACGATGTTGACGCCATCTGAACTGAATGAAACCTGAACGGCAAAAATTCATCCAACCAATTCATACAGTACCGTGCTTCACAAAATCACAACTGAGATGATGCAGACTTGCGGAGTATCTTGAATAACATATTCTTCATCACAAAATCGATTCGTACACCCATATATCTATAATTTTGCACGTTTATATTGCAGTCAAACAATTTTTTTATGACTGGTCTCGACATGCGGCTGAACATGGAACCAGCTCACAACACGACCGGTCGTTACACCACTGATCTCCTGACAGAAGCAGCTACTTTGATCATTCACCATCACAAGGTGGACGAATCCCCGTTGTTCTTGTACTTGTCGCACTTGGCTGTTCATTCAGCTAACAAGGAGCAACCCCTGCAAGCTCCCAAAGAAGTAGTGGACCAATTTTCTCACATAAAGGATGAAAAACGTCGAACATATGCTGGTAAATCCAACAAATTCATCAAAATTTAGGACTTCGAACACGTACAATAAAATTGACCGTTACAGCAACCTTTAGGGCACTTCAGAAAAATTTTGTCATGCTGAATAATTTGTTATAATATTTTCAGAATAAATTACCAGAAGTTCTTTTGCACCAAGTCCTGTCTATGATAGATTACGGTAGATCTTGATTTTCTGGCATATTCTAAGTATCTCAGATTCTGTTTCATTGCTTGAAAATTTAATAATCTTCCACTAAAAAAAAAGAAGCTTTAAACCTGCAATCATGCATTCCATCCATTGCACCAATCTATTCATTCTGGGAGGATGAGTGTGAAACCACTTTTAAACAGGCTTGTCATTGATTACAGCTTCCATCCATGCTACAAGAACCATTCAGTCACATTTAAGATTAGAATTTTCAGATTCTGCATCTGGAGAATCTATTGTCAAACATTCCTAAAAAATTTTGGTTTGCACTGGAACTGGGAAGTTTTTTGTAACAAGATTCTTTCAACATGAACTCTATGGACTTTCTGACAAGACTTGTGAAACAGTTGTTTAAATTGTTATAATGAAAAATATATTGTACGGTATTTGTTGTGACAAGATTCTTTTGTATCACAATGCAGCCATGGTTGCAAAATTGGACGAATCAGTTGGAAGGGTTGTAGAGGCTTTGGCGCAAAAGAACATGCTTAACAACACGATCCTGATTTTTTCAACGGACAATGGTGGAGCAGCTGCGGGATTCAACTACAACGCTGGGTCCAACTGGCCTTTACGCGGGGTACGGCAGACGTAAATTTCAGTTTCTTGGTGAAATGTCAACAGAGGATACACTATGTTCCAGGTTAAGAATACCCGCTGGGAAGGAGGCGTAAAAGGAGTAGGCTTCATTTGGAGCCCGCTGCTCAAAGTGCACGGAGTCAGATCTGACAAAATGATGCACATTGTTGACTGGCTGCCAACCTTACTTTCTGCCGCAGGTCAGGTTTATTTTTAATTTTGAAACAAATTGCCGTTGGGTTGATTTGTCAAACTATAGTTTTTGATTGCAGGTGTCAAGCGGTCTGATCTTCCGCAAGATTTGGATGGTATCAGTATGTGGGAGTCTTTCTTAGAAGAACCCAATTCTGACCATTCGCCACGATCGGAAATGCTCATATCACACGATCATCTTTATGGAGTTTCTGTATACAGATACGGTTATTGGAAAATCTTGAATGGTGAGTC